AATCTTCTGGAGCTGCTTCTGAAAAAATGCTTCTGGAGCTGCTTCTGAAGAAATGCTTCTGGAGCTGCTTCTGAAGGCTTGCCTCTGGGAGCTTGCTTCTGAAAACTTACTTCTGGGAGCGTGCTTCTGGAAACTTGCTTCTGGGTGCTTGCTTCTGGGATATTGCTTCTGATGAAGAATGACTCTGGAAAAGTTGGCGTTGTCCCTCTTTGGCTTTGAATTAAACTCCCCTGCAAATAAATCCTTACCATCTTGGATTTAAATTTGCAACTTCGAAAAGCTTTATTTGACTTTAAAATGCCTGCACGGGTGGGTTAGGATAAACATGCACACAAAAGCACCAAGGATAAAGAAAGCAAGAGCAAAAACAGAGGTGGGATCTTGAGGTCAAAAATGAGGGTGTGACAGATGCCCCTATTTAAGTTGCTTCTATCCGGAGATATGGAGATTGAAGTCTCCGTCTCGACGAGATAAGAGGGACTTAAATACAAACATTGCACGAATTTTTGGCCCTAAGAGGCCACCGAATGCATATGATATGCAATGATATGAAATGCAAGACAAGACAGGAAGAAACACGAGACTCCACGGGGAACGGGAACAATCAAGCGATGGGGAATCTCCAAAAGTATAAGAGTGTAGCGTGTACACCAAGAGGGAATTTTCTTGATCGAGACATAATTCTACTTTTGAGTAATCCACTTGAAAATAGAGTTGAAAATGTATAAACCTCCCCACGCCTCATGATGTGGAATCCATGAACAGGTCTCAATTTCTTAAAAATAAACCTCCCCACGCCTCATGATATGGAATCCATGAACGGGTCTCAGTTTCTGAAATAAACCTCCCCACGCCTCATGATATGGAATCCATGAACGGGTCTCAGTTTCTGAAATAAACCTCCCCACGCCTCATGATATGGAATCCATGAACGGGTCCCAGTTTTTGAAATAAACCTCCCCACGCCTCATGATATGGAATCCATGAACGGGTCCCAGTTTCTGAAATAAACCTCCCCACGCCTCATGATATGGAATCCATGAACGGGTCTCAGTTTCTGAAATAAACCTCCCCACGCCTCATGATATGGAATCCATGAACGAGTCTCAGTTTCTGAAATAAACCTCCCCACGCCTCATGATATGGAATCCATGAACGGGTCTCAGTTTCTGAAATAAACCTCCCCACGCCTCATGATATGGAATCCATGAACGGGTCCCAGTTTCTGAAATAAACCTCCCCACGCCTCATGATATGGAATCCATGAACGGGTCTCAGTTTCTGAAATAAACCTCCCCACGCCTCATGATATGGAATCCATGAACGGGTCTTAGTTTCTTGAGAATAAACCTCCCCACACCTCATGATATGGAATCCATGAATGGGTCTCAGTTTCTTTAGAATAAACTTCCCCACGCCTCATGATATGGAATCCATGAACGGGTCTCTGTTTCTGAAATGAACCTCCCCACGCCTCATGATATGGAATCCATAAACGGGTCTCAGTTTCTTCCTGTAATGACGAAAATTCGCGTGAGCCTCTTCACAGGGGATTGAAAATTTTATAGATTGTAGATATCATTGCAGATTGTGGAACTTCTTGGCTGTGAGCCATAATGTACTGGAGATTGTAAACTTCATCGGGGATCCTCAGGAGAGATGTAGGCCAGTGGATTTGTAAAGTATGTCCTCTAAAATGAAGAGGGATCAATGTGATAAACTTCCTCGACTTCTCTGGGGAGATGTCACTTGATGTAAAAACTAGTATAATGAACTCACTAGGGAATACATTCCTGTGGAGCATCTTCTTTGTTGTAGTTGTGTGAGTTCTCAAGTAAAGAGAAATATCTGTAAAGTTTTTCATTTACCAAGTTGATAGTCACTGGGGATGGACAAACTGTCTTGAGGGGACTGCCTTTTGTCATTCCTTGATAGAAAATTCGTTTGTAATAAGTTTCTCAAATAAAGAGCTGCTTGCGATTCGGATGTAAATGTTGCGAAACTTTGATAATGTATTTGGAAGAACTGTCTTCGATGATCGTCTTCATAAAGCTTCTTCATGGGGAGAAAAAGCGCAAAATAAAAGCATTCCTAATCCATGCTCAAAAGTTGGAGATGTCCACCAATGCGATTGCCAAGGACCGAAGTTCGCTTCGGGAAGCAACCGAAGAGAAACTGTCAAGCAAGACTCGACCATTGAGGTATGAACTCAAATGGAAATGTACTGAAATAACCATCTTCCATGAAGGTCAAACTTCAGGGGGAAGTGGAAATATTGTGCTTTTTCTGCCTAGGGCTAACAACTCTACTTGAAAGGATGAGACAAGCCCGACTACCCGAGGATAAACACAACCAAAGCGATAGAACAAACAAACACAAAGAAAGGCAAGATGCACATGCCATGCTATCTATCTATATGCTATGCGTATGCTGACAAAATCGGAGAAAACAAAACAGACGGAAAGGAACCCTGGCTAGACCTCCACAGATCCCTCACTGCCTAAAAGAACGGTCTTCAACCTGAATAAAAATAAATATCCACTGTCTTGGGAGAACTAGTTGTAGTTCATGGTATGTCGTCCAAGGTCATCCCTTTTTCATTCATATATCAGGTAAGACACAAGGTATCGAAAAAGTTTTAAAATTCATTCTAGAATTTGCTGTCAAAATATTTAACGCAAAAACTTTTATTAAAAGGAAGTCAGCGGAGAAGCGTGACTTCAATATTACAGTGTTGGAAAATAATAAGGATTACATCAAGGGAATAATAACATATTCTTCCTAAGTCGACGGGAACTTCCCGATTCCTAAGCAAAATACTTCTTGACGGCGTCCACGTTCATCGGGCGAGTGATTTCTTCTCGGTCCATAGTTGCTAACATCAAAGCACCTCCTGAGAAAACCTTCTTCACTACGTACGGCTCATCATAGTTTGGGGTCCATTTTCCTCTAACGTCAGTGAGGAAAGACTAGATCTTCTTGAGCACAAGGTCGCCTTCTTTGAATTCGCGGGGGCGAACCTTCTTGTCGAATGCTTTCTTCATCTTTTGTTGATACAACTGCCCATGGCACAATGTTGTCATTCTCTTTTATTCAATTAAGTTCAACTGATCATATCTGTTCTGGCACCAATCAGCTTCTGATAACTTCACCTCCATCAGAATCCTTATAGAGGGAATCTCAACTTCTATTAGGAGCACAACTTCCATACCGTAGACAAGTGAAAAAGGAGTTGCCCCAGTCGATGTGCGTACCAAAGTACGATATCTGTGTAGAGCAAACGGGAGCATCTCATGTCAATCTCTATAAGTGACAACCATCTTTTGAATTATCTTCTTGATATTCTTGTTGGCAGCTTCAATAGCCCCATTCATCTCCGGTCTGTAAGGAGAAGAATTATGATGCTTAATCTTGAACTCTTCACACAATTCCTTCATCATTCTGTTGTTCAAATTGGACCCGTTATTTGTGATAATCTTGCTCGGCACACCATACCGGCAGATAAGCTGGTTCTTGATAAACTTAACAACCACATGTCGAGTCACATTAGCATAAGAAGCCGCTTCGACCCACTTAGTGAAGTAATCAATTTCCACTAAGATGAACTGATGTCCATTAGATGCTTTTGGTTCTATCATTCCAATCATATCGATTCCCCACATGGAGAAAGGCCAAGGGGATGATATAACATTCAAAAAAGTTGGAGGCACATGTATCTTGTCCGTGTAGATTTGACATTTGTGACACTTCCTGGAGAACTTGTAACAATCTGATTCCATCGTAATCCAATAGTGACCAGCTCTCAAGAGTTTCTTAGCCATTTCATGCCCGTTGGTATGGGTACCTGTTGCACCCTAATTTTTGACCTTAAGATCCCACCTCCTCGTTTTTTTTCTTCTCACAGGTTTTCAGTATGCATTTGTATTTGTGTTTATCACGGATAACAAGTGGGTGCAGGTACATGAATTTCAAATGCAGTTGAGGCTCACTCTTAGTGACAAGCATTTTTGGGCACGTCCATTTGTTTCTAACCAGAAGTGGTCCTAAGGTTTCTATTGTGACCTTAAATCCATTTCTTTGTTTCGTTTGCGTTCAAAGTTCAAGATTCACAAAATCGTGGTTTGATAAAGATGGTCATAATGCCGCCACCATCCAATATACCATCTTTGAGCCCAAAGCCACAGGATCAGGGCCCATTTTATCTCTCACAAGACCCAATTTGAATTTGCTAGCACTCAAGTCCAGGTTTTCGTATGGGTTTAAATACTCAATTTTGGATTTCACAATTTAAGGTGATGCCTGAATTTAATTAAAGCTCGCGGATCCGTTCAGTTGTTAAGTGCAAGCATAGGTTCCGTTCTCTCCTATATCCAAGCTACAGATTTTATGTTTTTTAGTGAAAGACAAGGTAATCCAATTTAAAGAAAACCAATTCATGTTGGTGATGTCTGAAGTTCAGGAATTGGTATAGTACATCCAAAATGTTTTTATTCATCATGGCCTAGAATTATTGGAAAGTAAGCAAATATCAATATTGCTCACATTATTGAGCCGTATCATATCATTTGTGCTATCATGGAAATATAAACAGCCATCGTACAAATCCACCAAACCTATTAAGGATTGAAAACATTGGAAAATAAGAAAGGAACAACGATCACAACCAACTCATGTATGGGATAGATTTCTTGCTACAGATCCTCGAACGACACCGGCAGCCTATGATTGACCTCTTAAATCACATTCAAGTATCCAAGACCCCTCTTAAAGGATCTACCTATTCTTCAATATAGTTTTCTGTTACATCATGTAAAGCTAAAAGAGGACCAAAACAGGATTGAACATCATCATTTGCTTTCGCTCTAAATCGGCAAACCACTCCTTTTGCCCCGACTACGACCTTGAATGCAAATTGGGCTCATTATTGCTCCGACTTGCAGTTATTACGGTGACGACATTCAGTCAACCTCTTTCGATCAAATACCGACAAGGAAAGATTCATGATTACGAAAACAAAACATGCACATAAAGAGAAGACAGTTAGAGATTGCAATTCAAAGTTACCATTGGTCAGTGATGCTGCTAAAGCAGAATTGGACAGTGTTGAAGAGACTAATATTCCACATAAAAAAATTATAGATTGTTTGACCTCTTGCATCCAAGTAGCACATATAAATGATATTCTTCAAAAGCAAAAGGACCTAATGCACATCTATGCTGCATTCCTATTACCTGAATATAAATGGACAGTCAAAACTACTGCATTTTTATCCATCAAAGAACTTTGTTCAAGGCTCCACAATGTCATAAAGGACTCCCAGGGAAGTAATGAACATGCCAGTGTAACTTCCCTTGTTCAGGAGATGTTTCATTCTATATCCCCGAAGGTTCTACATTGCATAAGCACAATAAAAATCACTCAGGTTCATGTTTCTGCCTCAGAATGCCTTCTGGAAATCATGAAACTCTCTGTGGCAGTGCCTTCAGTAATTGCAATTAATGAAGAATTCAAAGAAGAACTCCTTCATCAGTATGAAATAGAGAAGAATGAAGGGGAAAAATCATTATTAAGAATGTGCGTAAACATTCTTCAAGACTGGAAACGATAGATTGCACGAGCTATAATTCAGTTACATTGATAAACTGTCTTAATTTATAAGTTTATGGATTTAGCAAATCATCAAGCTTCTTTGAATTCGAAGAGAGCAGCTGTTTTTGGCTTCTCAAAAATGGCAGCAGCTGCCAAGGAAACTTTAGAGGAACACAACATGATGGTGGCTATTAATACTCAAGCTGCTCCTATATACCCTGGTACACAGAGACAAATGCCGTCATGAAGTCCGACCATCCTGCAAAACAGAAGAAGAAATGCACAGATTAACCGGCACGGTGGAAAACAGGAATGATAAGGAAGTTACCGTGAGGTGAAGAGAAAGAAGCAGACGACATTTCAATCTGACGTTTTAGCCAAACCGCCAATCCTGCCACAAACCAAAGCTACTCCCTCTTGATGATCTGCAAAGCAACACAAACCGGTATTCAAACAGAACTCATTAAAGGATCAACAGCAGCAGAAAAACTCTCTAAGACGCTGAAGGAGCCTCTTAAGAGTAAACATGTGCACATACCTCACTTGTATAGGAAGCTGATCAAAACCACAGGTTCAGTCAACTATAGAAGTTTGCTTCCGTTTTTGAAGAATCTTACTAAAGAAGACTCCGGTACATCAAAATTTGGTAGCCAGCGGTCCAGTGCAAGACAAAACTGACTCTAATGCTTTGGCAAACGACATCTTAGTTAATCCTGCTAATATGTTAACTCATGGAAACCTTACAGAATTGACATCTTCCCAAGACTTATCTGAATTGCCAATACAATTGGATGCAAAAAGTTGTTCCATGAGTGCTTATCTGAATCCTGTGTTCAGGCACATTCTGAGAAGGCTGCAATTTCTTCAAAAGACGAGTGCTTCAGTGAACCAAATTCTGATCCTTGTTCAGTAATGATGGATTTTAACTGTGCTAAGATTATCACTGATGCTACCAACCATGATGGCTTTACTCAACCGAACACCAGCTTCTCCAGTACACGCACCAAACGCAAGTTCCCCCCCCCCCCCCTCTGGGCTTCTAATCCTTCTTCTGGCCCAAATCATTCACTATCCGCACCTGTCAAAATACCAAATGAAAATTAGTAATTGTTTGATAGGAGAATATCCAATCTAAATCCAAGACATTGAATCTGGACAAACCATGACATTAAACACGATTAATTCAGGATATCACAAGTTGGAATTCTTCATTAACAGATCATTATTGCAATCAAACGAAAATGCAAAGATTTCAAGTTCTCTTCAAACTAAAACAGAAGGTTCTAACACAACAATCATGGCATTTAAACACAGAGAATTCCCTTGAAGCCTATAAAAGGGAGTGATTGGATACGAAGAAGAAAAGGAGCAGAACATTCACGAAACCCTAACAGACATAGAAAATCCACAAAAATCCCTTCAAAACCCTAAATTGATAACAGAAAGAATCAAGAACTTATCTTTTGAGGAGGTTCGTCGGAAGTCGTAATCCATCGCCGTCGAGACTTTCGTTGCCAGAAATCTCCGTTCCCAACCGAAATCCACTGCAAATTAACTTCACCGCCACCTTGAAGCCCGTTCGGTAAGATCCCATTAGCCGTTAATACGAATCGTTGATCGTTTTTCTTTGCTTTGTGAAGCAGGTATTGAGACGTTCGAAGCTTAACGAACGATGGAGGGGATGCGAGGAAAAGAAATAAGATAGCGATCGAGAGAGGCGGACGAGAATTTGAGAGAGAGAAAGAATAGAAGCCTGCGGCGGAAAGAGAGAAGGAGTGAGATCGCAGGTGGAAAGGCGAAGAGGGAATTAGGGCCAATTTCGAAAATTAGGGTTTATTGTTCTTTTTTTTCGTTTTTTTTTGTATTTTGATGTAATGTAATCCTATGGACTCACACGACACTTAATCCACCAGCCCCCCTAATCATCCGTTAAACCACCCCTTTAACCTATAATTAACCCTCTAATTAATAATTAAAAACCTAATTAATCCTAGGTCAGTAATATAATCTTTTCATTAAAACAATTAAACACTTTTATTTAAAATATTTCCTGTCTGATTAGTTTTAAGTCTAAAAACAAATAAAGCAATTAAGCCTATTTTTATTAATTTAAACTTAGTAAACTTTTTTGGATTATTAATAATAACTCAATTTTATCTTTAGTATAATCAACTTTTTTTATTAAAAATAATTAGTAAACCTTTTTTAAAACTTATTTATTTATTAACCTTTTATATATATACCAATTTTATTCAATACCTTTTTAATTAAAATTATTTGTTTTTTTAAGCCCATCTCATAATCTATTTAATCTAATAACATTTTGTTTAGTTTAACTTTTATTTGATGATAACTAAAATAGTTCTTTATTAAAAATCAATCAACTTATAATTTAAACTCTAAATTAATAACTTATTTTTCTCATAAAACTAAAATTAGTCAATCTCACTATTAATAATCAAATACAACTTTTTTCTCAAAAAAATCAACCTTACCCTTCAAAGTAATCTTCTTATAAAATGAACTTCCCGCTTACAAATCGATTCACCCAAATCAACACTCAAACTAAAATCAATTCGTCTAAAATCAATCCAACATCCCAATTAAAATCGATCAACATCGAAAATACAACCTAATCGTGCACACTCACATTCACGACACATTCACTCTCACACACTTCGGCGCTTTCATGCGTATGTGTATGTTTACTTATTCGCCCTTTATTATTCCCGCAGTTTATCTTACAGTAATTTGCATTACCGTTGTTTATATTTCCGCATTGCATTTCGTCCAAAGGAAAAACCTACATATGAGTCAACACTTGTGTGTAGTGCGCATCATTTGCATCATTCTTCCACATGATCCTTGACTCCCCTCAAGTCGATCTTTAAGATAGATCCTACCCTATAGGAAGGTCCATTATCTTTACAACTTAGATACAAACAATCAACTCAAACAATATTCAAACACAATAGAGAAAGATGCCAAATCATCTTAAGCGAGATAGAATCTCCACCCACAACAATACAATCAATACCGTAGGGACTTTGCCTTAAGAGGGATAGAGGCGTACCTCGTCGATCCCTATCCGAGTACTTGAGCCCTTCTCTTAAGATGATGCAAAGACTATTTTCCTACAACTTGTGGTGGTTAAATCTCCTTTAAAATGATGACTCATCTTTTCTCCTAAAATCAATCAATCAACTACCATAAACCCGTAGGAACTTTGACCACAGTCAAAGAACTCCTCATACCCTTTAGGGGAACTACAAATACTCTGATTCCACTCTCGTGAGGATATGTAGCCATAAGATGCGACATCTTATCGAGTATACTTAGAAATAAACTCCTAGGTCTTTTAATACCTTAAGCAGATAAACCATAGCAATAAACAAACATAAAACAAGAGGTTCCTGTAGAATACTACAGAAACTTAGGATGCTAGTACCTTCCCTAAGTTTAACCAACCCCCGAACCTATAACTCTCTAGCTTGCATTTGCATTGCATTGTGGGAATTTTGATCTTTATCCCTTCCTTTGGACAAATCAAAGTTCGGTTGCAAAATGAATTAAAGATTCAAACTAATCAATAGTTTGGTATCCAAATTTCACCGCGACAGAAATGGCGACTTCACTGGGGAGACCTGGTGGGTTTCTCTAACTTGTTTTCTTACTTGTTTATTGCTTTATATCTGTTATTTGTATACTTGTTTATCTATTGCTTTTGGGCTAATCTTTGAGTGGCAAGACAAAGTCCTACACCCGGACTTGAGTGAACTTAAGATAGGATAGTGATATGTTCGACGAGACTTATAGGGAGTTGAATCCCGACCAAGTTGACTTGAAAATCACGCTCAGTTGAGACCCTTTTGAAAATAGTTCGGTTGAACGAGTAATTGTGAAGACTTTTACTATTTTTTATTGGAGTCTATGATATTGAGGACCGTAGTTACCTTTAACCCCACTTTGACCTTTATTAGGACGTAGTGCGGGATTATGAGGGAGTACACCCGAAATAGTGCTACGCGATGCTACACTCAAAAGAAGTTCTCTTGAGAATATTATTAATCACCGAGTAATTGGGAAGTTGATAATATCCGGAAGATGGACTAATGACTTTGGGAACCTTCTTAGAACCTTGTTCTGCAGGTACAATCAACCTTTAGTCCACATCCTTTGGGAATGGGTATACCCTTTGCTCCATGCTCGTTGCAAACCTAGGGTCCCCTTGTTTGTTTATCTTTATGTCTCTATGTGCTTACTTGTGTTTGTTGCATTCATAAAGCATCATATTGCATTAGTTCCATGAAATTCCTAGTTTATTTATAAACATTATAGAAACCAATATGGATTATAAAAAGAAAAATATTTTGAGATATTCTTTTAAGAGTCCTAACTTGGATGGCCTAAGGAAGTAGGAGTTCAAATTGAAGAAAACTCAAAAGACAAATACAAAGGCTTCCTTTATCATTGCAGATCCTTAGAAGTTCAAAATGCTTTCATCAATATTGAAGATCCAAGGGACTCCTTTTCCAACAAGAACAAAAGAAGAGATGGAGGATTTATTTTCCTCTATCAAACTAATCTTTAGAGGACGATCGTGGAAGATCCAAGTAGAAGAACAAATCAACAAGTACGATGAAGGACTTCCTTAGGGCTGTATTAGCTTTTATTTAGCTAATATGCGAGGACTCTTATAGGAATATTTATTTGTAATCGATATAAAAAACAAAAATTCTTTGGTATTCTATAACGTTTATAAGAACTTGAGTTCCATGAAACCTTTCATTTCTGCATTTTTTGCATTAGCATTTTGCATTTTGCATATGCATGTGTCTCTCCTCCTCTGCGTCCTCATTCGGCCCTCTGTCTTTGTCTGTCAGCTGACATCTCGCCCATCTGGCAAAGCTCGAAGCATTACTTAAGGATATCAAGGAGAACGAAAGATATGGATCGCATGACTGGCTTCAGAGTAAGGACTGATTCGACATTCGACTATTCCTCTGACGACTTTGTGCA